TGTGTGTGACAAAGATACATTCTGAATTGCAAAGGCTCAATCATTGTAAATAAATACTGAAATGGCTAAACTGCAGTAACGTTTCACTCTCTCGGAGAGGACACACACACACACACACACACACACACACACACACTAAGGCTAAGGACAGACATCCTCGGTTGCTGTTCAAAACAAAGGAGGACAAAACAAAGAGCATACCAGTGCAGTGTACTGGTACACAGAGGCCAGAATTACACTCTTATTTTACACCAAATGAACATCTTGTGCACTGTACTCAGAGTACAGTTTAAAAAGACAAACAAAAACAAAAAAAAGTTCATAAAAATAGACTTAAAATATCAGTTTGCCATCAGGATAAACATATAAACAGGACAACTTCAGGTAACATATTCTGCTTAAAGCAGCGCCGCAAAACCAAAAGTGTCAATGTTAGAATTCTGACCTCTAAATATCAAGATACGGATTAATGGGGCGGTGTTACGTAATCCTCTCATAATAACGGGTCCAGCTCAATCTCTTCTCTCACACCCTGAAAATACGTCAATTCCCAAAATATGAAAGTCTAAAAATATATCGTATCTATACACCGGGATTTCTGTTACAAAAAGCGTGCATTTCACCTGCACGGAGGCAGCAGACTCAAACATGCTGCTCTACAGTAGGCGAGACGCGGTTATTGTTTCAGCATGTGGAGAAACTAGCCGGCCTTAATTCTTTATACTTTGGTAGCAAGCGCAGAAACATTCTTTCAAGGAAAAATAAATACTTTGTCACACTAGAAAAGCAGAGTAAATCAAGTCTTTTCAAGCCTCGATACCTCGTTTTAAAGTGTCTACCAGCTGGTTGTCAGATTGAGAGCAGAGGACCGACAGCATCCTCGTGATATATTGGATTAAATACGAGTCTGCGGTCGACACATCGTTCAGCAACTAAAACTGACATCAAGGACGGGCTGATTTACAGCGCGTGGTGGTAGCCGCTGCTGCTGCTTTTCATTCCATAATTAAGGGTTCAGTGAACGGGATTCCGTCAGTCACGGAGTTACTTTGTGCCTCTAACGTGTTATCAATACATTCAAGTCACAGAGCTGATATTCTGAAAAATAATGACAAGACACGTTAGCAGCTCAGTGGTGCTCTGAGCTGAGTGCTGAGGTCAGCATGCCGATGTGCTCACACTGACCATGGTAATGTTAATCGTCTTAGATTAGCATGCTAACATTTGCTAATTAGCACTAAACACAAAGCACAGCAGAGGCTGATGGGATTGGCATTAGCTTTGCAGCGATTGGGTCATAAACGAAAGTATTGGACACAATAATATTTTGACCTGATGATGGCGCTAGATGTAAAGTCAGGGGATCTAGAAAGGCAAAGGTGCCAAATATTTCCATTGCCTCTCAATGGCTCTCAACATGGCGAAGGTCAACCGCGTGTTTAGCGACACTTACTGCTGTTCTGAAGGTGAAACGTCTTTCTTCCATCATGCAGCAGATGGAATATTTTTGGGGAATATCATCAGCACAGAGGTAAGTGTTATTAGGCAACCCTCTGGGCTTCATCAGAACATTGCAGAACATGTATTTTTCAGAATGTCGGCTGCTTTGCTCCGTGACTGGAATGTAAATATGGTGAAGCTCGCATGAGACAGAAACTGGGACTTGCATCTTGAATGTTAAGATCAATGCGGGCCGTGCTGACCAGAGGAAGCTGATGTATTGCATTTGACTTAAACAAGTCCTGACCAGGAGACAACCAGCTATCAATTCAATTTGTCTTGCATACAATCAAAAGCAAAGTTCTCAAAGGATGAAAAATCCCCAAAAAAAACAACAAGAACATGAAATAGGATTTGGGATTCATCAAGGAGCGCTCATGAGTTGCTCCCACGCATGATCGCCCCAGTCTTACATTATTAGAGGCAACAGGGGAGCTCGCAGGTGATTATTCAGTTTGACCGACTTAGCTTCATGTCGACTCCAACAGCAAGACAACAAGTGAACTGAGTGAAGGGAACCCGGAAATGTCAGCAGGAAAATTCATTAGATTTGCTGAAGAAATAGAACAAAACGTTCTGTATCCAACAACAGCTTTACCTCAAAGGATATTAGAAGATAGAGAAGAGGCATTATAACAGATTCAAATTCAAAAAATATATTTTTTTTCAAAAGGAACAAATAACAACAACATGCAGTTTGTGTGAATCTGTTTGCACTGCTCTAGTCCACTTTACCACCGAGTACTCTCAGTTTCTGCTCGTTATCGTTCAGGAAGAAACAAAGTGCTGATTAAACTCCGTCTGAAGAGGGGAGTCGTCCACATTAACTCCTCCATCCACGGCGGCCCGTTTGAGAGAAAAGGCAAATCGGGCCTCGAGGTCAGAGTTCAGTCGTCGCTGGCGAGGACCTGCCAGATGATGAGGTGGCTGCGCTCGGCTTTAGCCAGGAAGGGCTGCAGCTTGACGGGGGGCTGCTCACCCTCCTCCGCCTCGCCATCCTCGTCACCTGAAGACATACAGAGAGACGGTCACGCCCGTCTCTGGACGGTTTTATCCACTACATGTAGCAAGACTCACCCATCCTGAAGTCAATGTAGCCTTCTCCTCCGCTCATCACCAGCATGGACTTGGTTCCCTCCTGAGCTGCGGCATCTGTCGTCTTGTCACCTGCTGCCTCGGCTCCGCAGGACGCAGATGGAACTGCGTGACCTGAGAGCACAGAGCCACAAACTGTAAATAACACCAAACGAGTCCAGATTGTGTTCATCTGGGACAGACCTTATCTTGTCTGTATACTGTGTTCTTAATGAGACCGCAGCACTCTGATTCACTAGTTTATAATCTGCATTTAATAACACGAGAAGATTATCTCACATTGTGTAATCACATCGCATTTTGCAAGTGTACAAAAGGATATATTTGGGAGGTCTTAAAATGTTTGACAGCAGAGTTAATGAATACCACTGGGATGTAAAGAAACGGCCGGGTTTGTTTACCTGGGACGGCGGTGAAGAACTTGACGGCGTCTCTGTGACCGTGGAAACAGAGCTGAGCGTGAGCCATGGAGCAGTACGGAACAAACGTCCCGGCTCTCACTTTGTCACTGCTGTCGTCGCCATAGACACGAACCACGCTTCCTGGATGGTTGCTCGCCGCTGCCTTGGTTACCTTGTTTGCTGCTAACGGAGCGGTGGAAGGGGGGAGAGAGAGAGAGAGAGAGAGAGACACACAGAGAGAGAGAGAGAGAGACAGAGAGACAGAGAGCGAGAGAGAGAGAGAGACAGAGACAGAGACAGACAGACAGACAGAGAGACAGAGAGACAGAGAGAGAGACACACACACACACACACACACACACACACTGAAGAGGCAGAACAAAACGCTCAGTCTGTCAAATCCACCTTCTGGACAATGTTCAATACGCACTTCGTGTGGACCTAATGTGATATTCTTGTTGCATGTATTATATTATTACTACAAGGGCGCTGAATATCACAAAACTCTAATCACAAACGGAAGTTATAAGAGGTTCTGACAGAGAACTGAAGCCGTTAATATCATCTATGCTCCCTTCAAAGCCACAAGACGCCACTGGCTATGAGTCACTTTACCTTATTGAACACGGGAGTAAAGCAGGGAAACTGCTCTAAATATAGCGTACACTAAAACTGATATTGATTATTTGAGGTGGGCCTTTCTTTTAGGTGTCTACAACAGGTTTTGCTGCTGTCCACAGCAGTACATTGCTTTGCTTCTGTTTCGGTACTTCTACAACCCCACTTTAAACAATCTGAATTATCCAGATATTTGAATTACTACAAAATGTGGAGCGATAGTGGTGATGAGGGACTGCAAATACATAGGCAGCAACAAGAGAAACAGTGTGAATGTGTGTGTGGACCAGAAGTTTATCCCTGTAAAAACAAAAAGATACCAGTCTAGCTCCCGAACTCACTCTCCGTTAAAGGGATGGAGATGATGACTCCGTTTCCAGTGCCGATCCACAGCCGGTTACTTGACACCATGAGCGCCGTGATCCTCACAAATGAGAAACCTAGTTTCCCCGTACCTGCATACAGAAAAGAACACAAAATCGGAGCTGATTCTTCAGAGTCTGTCTGCGCCTGACGAGTCTGTCGTTGCAAGGAAAGCGCTGAACTGACCCAGCATCTTGCTGACGTAGGGCTCGATGTCGACGTCCTGAAGGTGTTGGAAGGTGTGAGCGTGGAACAGCCTGAGAGTGGAGTCCAGTCTGATGGACACCCAGATGCCGTCACCGTCCCAGGCCAGCTGACGGACCTGGCTGTCCTTACGAGGGTGGGCGTCAAACGACTTCTGCAAAGGGGAACCAAATATGCAGGGAGCAACTTTAGAGCGACGTTGATCAACGAACCAGTAAGGCAGATCATTTATTGTTTTGAGATGCTGTATTGTGACATGCTTTCAGTTTACTGCAGAACTCTAATTAATATAATATACAAATAAATGTCTGAGGGTTAAGACTGGTCATACCTCGATCTTCATGGCTTTGGGCTGCACCACATAGATCTTGTTCCTGTAGCCACACCACACCTTGTCGTGTACTATGGTCATGCAGCGGATGGCGTGGTGCGGCCTCCCCAGGTCTAACAGATGGTAGTTGGTCAGATCCCACTGTCCGTCTGCCACACACGAAGGACGTCAAGATGCACGGTTATATTTACAGATAAATGACACATCCGGTCGATATCACTTTGTTTGTTTTAGAAGGACTCGTGTTCCCTTACCTACTCCTCTGTGGAAAATGGCTAAAGTGCCATCAGAGAGACCCACCAGTACACGGCCTTTCACGTGCCTGTGGGAAGAGAAACAAATGCTTCCGAAACACAGCTTGAAAAAAAAAAAAAAAAAAAAGTAGCAGCATGAGAGTGAGGCGGTAAAACGACCACCGTCTGATCAAGCATACTTACACTATGCCGAGCACAGAGTCCTTCAGCTTGATCGAATGGAGACACTTCTTCCACTGGGCCACGGAGGAGTGGACGTACACACTGCAATCAGAAAAAGGTTTCCCCATCATCAGTTTTTCTGGACTTGCGGTGCAGTGCGCCGGGGCAACGCCGACGTTGACACTTACCATCCGTTCTGCGCCCCCAGCCACATGGTGGGCAGGACGCTGCTCATCTTCTGAGCCTCTTCTCTCATCAGGTCCTGCTCCTCCACGTCGGGGTTTGAACTCACGCCGTCTTTCAATAGATCGCTCTCCCTGGTCATAAAAAGAGAAAGAGGTTTAATGCTTTGTAATAATAATTTACCATCACACAAATAAATGTTTTTTACAGTGCTTTGATTGTTGTTGCTCAGTGGGGTTTTGTTTATGGTCGTGCTGATGAAATTGCACGTTTTTATTGGACAGACTGAATCGTAACGACATTGGGCCTCCCGGTGTTACCTCTGAGAGTAGTTGGCTGGAGCCTCTGCTGTCTGTTGAGCTCCCAGTGGATGAGTGAAGACGTGTTCGGTGTAGGCCCCCGTCAGGCTCTCTCTTTGGTCTGCAGGCCCCGCACTGGCCTCCGTCGCCTCGGTGGCTTCCTCTGCTGGTCGGGATTCTGTAGAGAGGATCATCTCTTAGTAAACCGGGCAGGCTATTATGTGGAAGTAACATTCATGCTGTCATTTCAGCCTTATTACTGTAGGTGCCAGATAGGTGAAATAGTTAGTGTGTTGATGCTCCGACGACAGATTTAGAACTTCCCTCACTTGTGAGAACGAGCTGCATTCACACACAGTGGGTTTATTATTTAATTACTAATTAATTTAAACTTATCGATGTATTGAAGAGATATGTTCATATTGTTGCAGAATATTTTCCACCACACTGGGTGAGATTACAGAAATGATTTTCCCCACCTGTAAGAATGCATGAGTTAACATGAGGTGTAGTTGAAAGGTGACAAATCCCTTGTTTTTAATGATCCTCACTGCACGTGCAATGTGCACATTACATGCAAGAGGAGGTGCAAATGCAGACAACATGACAGGATAGAGCTGAATCAAATGATCTACTTTATATTATGTACATCTATTGTTTAACCCATGAATACATTTTGAGATAAATAGATAAATACTGGTCCTGATCACAGAGAACACAGGCTAATGTCAGGTGGGGAAAAAAGGTATCAAACAGTAAACATCTCTGACCACTTTCTCCTTCTCCTGGACTGCCTGCTGTCTGAGGAACGGCTGCTGCTCCCTCTGCTTCACAGCCCACAACGGTGATGCCTCCCAGCACGCCATCGCCACACGCCGAGCTGCTGTCGGTCGACGGCGAGCCGGCGTCACCCGCCGGTCCCGTCTCGGCGTTCGGAGCGACTTCCTCACCAGCTGGGTAGTCCGTCTCTCTTGCACCTAAATAAAAGCACACACGCATAAATCATGAATGAGACACTGACATTCCCTCGCAGCTCCTCTCTGTGCCGCTGAATGCAGAGCGAGCCAGTTGCAAACAGACGCCAGTAATAAAATCTCTCTCTTGCCGCAGCCGTCAGATGCACTCGTCCGCTGACCTGGAACACTGGCGATGCAGAGGACGTGGGAGTTACACACGAAGAAGCTCTCCAGGATGTTTCCAGCCTGGTTGGCGTCAATGACCACAGCTTTGGTGGTGGACTCGGTGCTGGTGCAGATCCAAACCAGCGACGACAACTCGTCGTGCTGCCGCAACTCCTTCTGCTGCTCCTGAAACCATGAACAAAAGAAGTGTGATGAGAATTATCTAGCATTTCATTATAGGGTTAGCTTCATCACCATGTGTCCGTATGTGTGTCCGTGACCGTGTGTGTGTGTGTGTGCGCGCGCACTTTGAGGTCTTGATCCAGTTTATCCAGGCTGCTCTGAGATCCTATTTTCTTCTTCGGGCTCTCTGGTCCAGGCACGTCACTGTAAAACACGCTGGCCCCAACGATGGAACCTCCGTCTCTGGTTTTACCTCCGGAGAGGTTCACACCAGCAGCACACCACAGCTGGAGCACAGACAGATACAATGAGACACGCAGGAGATGCATCACTGCATCGACAGCATGCACCAGAGCTAAAAGTAGGAACTATTTTCTTTCTACCGAACTAGAACCGCCAAACACATCACCGTGCAGAGGGGAGCATGCAGCTACTCGAGGAGTAGGCAACAATTACAATCCTACATTAAACTGCACACAACAAGGTCTGTGGATATTTTTTGAGTAACCGAGTCATGACTTCTAGAGAGCGACATCGATGTAGAGAACTTTTGTGGCGCTTTGAGCACCACAAGCCGAGTGCCATCTAGTTGCACTATACTGGAGAGAAGGCAGACATCTCTGCGGCCGATATCTCCAACACTTGGTAACTTACACCAAAACCATTTAGACTGATAAATAGGACAGCAGGTAAGAGGATTTGATTTTGGGGGGGGAACTGTCCCTTTGTTTTTTGAGATTGCAGGTTGCAACCAACTGAAAATTCTCCCATGTGCCAAGCGTGTAGGAGAACTACGGTGGCCGAAGCAAAACAAGCGAGCGGTCCTATCTCGAGCCAGTGTTTGGTTTGTCCGTTCTGGGCGACTGTAGAAACATGGGCTGCTCCGTATGCAGATATAACCGTCTCATTGTAAGGTAACAACAACACAGCAATTCTTAGTTTCAGGTGATTATACACTAAAGAAAACAAAGTTTATATTATATTCCATTTCTGCCTACAGATCCCCCTGAATGCTACACACTGCCCCATAAATGTTGAAGACAAAAGCTGACAAGACATTTTGTATGTTATTAGTTATTATCCAGTAACAATACCTTCACAGAAGCATCTTTCTCATCCAGTGGTCGGAGGAAGACTGGAACAGGTAGATTCTTCACCTTACTCTCCGTCTGACCACCGTTGGACTGAAAGACAACAAACAGCACCGCTGCATTACAGCTCCTTTCTATTACAGTTAACATCACAACAGTTCTACCGTCACCTGAAGAAGAAGAGACAAACGTAGTAGTGACAACAGGAGACAAGAAGGGCTACTGCCCCAGTGTCTGTGCTCATCTCCTTACTTTGTGTTTCTTCGGCAGACTCCAGCCGTAAGCCTGCACTCTGCCGTCCTCCTTCTGAACGTGGGCTTTGACCTGCTGGTACTGGGCCCTCTTCTGCTCCCGCCTGGACACCACGTTATCGGTGGCCACTCTGTGGGACAGAACAGCGGCTCACTGACAAAGATGGCTATTTTTGGACAGTTGGGTTTTCCGCGAAAAATAAAACGACAGAGAGGGTGCTTTCACACCCAAGCCCTTTGGGTCGGTCAAAACGAACTCCGGTCTGACCGACCTGTTAGTACGGTTCCTACGGGCTGGTGTGAAAGCTGTCAATGGAACCCCGGTGCTCACCAAACAGCCAAACCGAGTCGTTAAAACTGCTGTGCTTAAATCCATGAATCTTTGTACTTTGTCAGTTTATTAAGTCCATTAAACAGTGTGTGTCAGCCAATCCACAGAACAACAATATATCATTTTTCTCCACCTGATCCGGTCCAAATGAACCCAACTACAGGTGTGAAAGCACCCTGAGATAGTTACTGTGTGACCAGTTTGACGAAATGTGCAATCAAAATGATTATCATTTTTATCATGCTCAATTCAAGTGTTTGATTTGAATCATCTTCTCGCACCTGACACACCGTAGCAATGAAAGGTACCTAATGGACAAAGTCTACCAAACCCAATGTACCCCGATAGTGTCATTGTTGTTGGAGACATTTCTGCAAGTCGCGCCAATTAAACATGTCTGGTTGACCGGAGTGAGTTGCATCATCAGTTGCTGCAGGGACCCACGTGGGGAACTCATTTCTCTGTGACTTTAATGCTTCCGATGTGTTTAATTGATTTTGTCCAAGACCACAACGAAGTCACACCCCCCCCCCCCCCCCCCGACTGACTTACTCCTCATTGAGGAAATCGAAGGCTTTGCTCTTGTCACTGGGCAGCTGCTGCAGGGTGCTGCTCCTCTTCTTGACGGACGGCTGAATCTGAGAGGTGGGTGCGTTGTACTTGACGTTCACCGGGGCCTCCATCAGAGGCTTCTTGGGCGCACCCGACGAGCTGAACAAACGGCTGAAACTGGAAGTGTAAGGGCGGGGAAGTGGGGAGGGGACAAAAAGAAAGAAGCACACAGACAAACGTATAGAGGGGTGGACACAAGCAGTAGCTCCAGCGGCAGAATTGAGGTTAATTTTCCCACGCCAACACACCACGCCAGAGTTGATACGGATAGCAGACATTGATTACATTAATAGGTCTCCTAAACAGCAAAGCAACAGAGCACGCTTGAGTGCAGGGTTAATACTGTGCACCAACTGGGACATTAGTCAACAACACAGGGCAAAACTGGACAATGACACGTTTCACTTCCCCCTAACTCTACAGTGAGAGCACACGCTATTTATCTCATTATATCTGTCAGTTTATATACACGGCAACAGCTGCTAAGCATGTTTCAAATAAATACGTTTATAGCAGAGACTTCAAGTTGTAACTTAAATATAAGAAAAAGGCTCTGGTAAGTTTATCTTTCTGAGTGTATTTGCTGTAAATTTCCCCGCTGTGGGACTAATAAAGGATTATCTTCTCTTGCTTCCATCCCCCCCCACCCCCCCCCCCCCCCCCCACCCACCCACACACACACACACCTCCTGCACACACACATCACAAAATACGGAAGAATATAGAGGGAGAAACAGAACAGGAGAGATAGTGGATTTATCAGAGTTTGTCCCAAACCCCTTTGCCAAAAACGTGCCCCAAACAATGTCCTTCAAACCAAACCAAACCCATTCCTTATGAAACTCAACGAAGGAGAGCCGGGGGTCACATCACAGAGATTAGGTCTTTCTAATTTGGTTGCTCTAGGTGCATTTTTCCCCAATCTCAGGTCTCTCAAAAGCTTCTATCATGCTTGATGTTTACAACAGAAAACGATTACTTCGGTATTTTTTAAACCAGATCCTATTTTTCATGTTTTTGTTTCCAAATAACTAATGGGAACAATTTGTGAAACAAGTCCAGTATTAAGTGAGAGCGCTGCTGCTGCCGCTAAACGGACCGGAGTGTAATTGATCGAGGCAAAGTCCTCACTGTCAATGTGCGTCCACGTAGTATTTCTCTGTGGGGTTCTTCCCATAATGTTGTCAGATACTTTAATAACAATCTGAGACGGTCGGTGGTAAAAAGAAGCTCTTTTAGTGCACGTACATTGATGATGCAGAATTGCTCGATTACATTCCAGCCCTATTAGCGGCTGCCATCTGAAGTGTTCTGTTGTCCCCATTAGTCCATTAGACACAATAACATAGATAGTGTAAATTACCCGTTAACTTTTAATAAAGAATTAAAGACAATCATGACAGTACAGCAGCTCAGATCTGAGATCAGAGCCACCCTCTCCTGGCTGGCTCTCCTCTGTTAAGAGTTTGTTTTCAAGAGGAAAACAATCGGAAGCCAGTTAAGATAGACACCGTTAACATGTCAAAGATTTACCTACATCCTGGAGGGAAAACAACCCCACAACATGGAATACAAAAGAGAAGCAAAATGAAACGCATCAATAACACAGCAGTCACACTGTGGTTGGTATTTGAGAGCTCAAGTGAAAAGAAAAGAGGAGCTTACAACTGCCAGAGGCTGGATTTCTTCTTCTCTGGAAGAGCTGGGTTCTCCTTTGACGCCCTGAGAGAGACAATTCACTCTGAATCAAACCGAATGCTTTAGAAGGAGCTTCACAGTCAGTTCCTACATTTCTACTTGAAACCGTAGTCGGACAAATTTTGCTTCTATAGTACAGCGTTGCATTTCCCCTTGGTGGGTGGTGCGTTAAGAAACGGGCAACGGTATTCAATTGCAGTGGTACTTCATGATCAAATCATAGCAGTGTAGGATGACACACAGATTTAATATTAGGACTGAACGATTTATTGTTTCTATTTCAACGAGTGCAATTCTCTGGCGACACAAAAACGAAATCTTGGCTTTGTCCGGGTAATATGCTCTGAGCACTAGTAGTCACGTACTACTTACACTTGGCCAAAGATGGTTTTGTGGGGGAATAAATATCACTCTGTGAATTATTTTTGATGTTTGAAAAAGATAAGGAGTTGTGGGCTGTGTCTTTTTGCTGTCCATGAAAAGACTTAACAAGACAAGTGTTCTCCTGCACAGGCCGTCCAGGTGATCGCCTCACGTCAGTTATCAGAATCCACCAATTACACTGAGACCACCTCGTTTAGGCTTACTACCTTAAAACTGTGAACTCAAAACTCAATTAGATGCTATCAGTTAGATATCAAAAAGTGTCTGACTTTGTCATTACTACCATGACAGTATGCAGCCACTACGTATCCAGTGGTAGAAAGTAATTAAGTACATTTACTAAGTACTGCGAGTAGAATTTTGAAATACTTTTACCTCCCACTTCTACTGCATTTCTGAGGAAAATATTGTACTTTTACTCACGTACATTTATCTGACAGCTTTAGTTACTGGTTGCTTTCAACATAAAAAAAAAAAAAATCATATGTTTATCTAATATGATGCAGTGCAATACTACTAATCTACCTAGTAGTATATAAATCTAAAATTGGCTCCAAAATGACAAACTACAACATTAAAATGCTCTTACATGTATTTGTGACTGATAAAAAGAGAATAATATCATATTCTACAATAATATAACACATACAACGAGACATTCTGCATAGTCAGTACTTCTATTTTTGATACTTTTGATAGTTTGAGTACAGGTTGATGCCAATACTTTTGCTTTTACTTTAGTAATCATTTGATTTCAAGCCTTGTATTTGTAATGGAGTACTTTTGGAGTATTATATTTCTAGTAGTACTTCTTGTATACAACTGTACACTATATACAACTCCACTTTTGAATGTCATCATTATATGAGAATACTATTTATTACTGTCCAGCATACACTGATGTAATAAATGTGAGCTAAATTGATTATTTCTTCTATAGAAAACTCGTTACAGTGATGTTTCTCTGTAGCTGAATAGACCTGGATGTAGAAACAACAGATACAAAGTCATTAGAACTGCTGCAATCTAATCTTCTTTAATACCATGGAGCCCACAAATCAGAAAAACTGAAACTAGATATGTCCGTCCATTTGTTCAGCCCTCGAGTACTTCATATTGTCCACCATTTGCCTCCGTCGCTGCTCTCTTACCGGATCATCTCTGTCCATCTGACGGCCTCCTGCAGCTCCATCAGCCTCTCCTTGTACTGGTTCCTCTCCATCAGGACTCTGGCCATCTCCACCCTGGTGAAGCGCTTCCTCTGTGCTGTGGGCACATCGCTCTGCAGGCACAACACCAGCATGAGAACACCAAATCACTCTCCAATACACATAATATGTATGACACACAGGCATTTTATTTAAATTCAGATGATCAATATGAGGGCTATGGAGCTATTTAAAAAGGGACCACTAATGGTTCAACGAACTTCTACTGCCACTAATCCATACAGGTGTGTCACTCTCTCGGATCAAAACAAACATCAAGGACTCACATCATCCTCGTTGTCATTCTTGACGTTCTGTTTGGCCTCAAGCTCTGCTCGAATCCTGCAAGAGAGCACACAAATGCTAAGTCTTTCGCCACCACATTTAAACAGTAGATACTCAAATGCAATATGTGGACACGTATATACGGACATGTATTTATGCGTTTTGAAGCCAAACCAACTCACTTCTTCAGTTCGTCTTCTAAGTCTTTGTTCTTGTCCTCCAGTTTGGACTTGGCCTGAGTGACGGCATCCAGCTCACCTCGCAGGGCCTCCTTCTCACAAGACAGCTCGTCTATTTGTCCTATGAGGTCATTTTTCACCACGTTCAAAGCATTTCTGGAAACAAATACACATGGACATTCTAAATGTGATACCGTCACTAAACACAGGGTGGCAGCACTGTCCTGTTTCTCAACAATATCAATCTTTAGAATAAAGTGCAGCTAGATGCAGACCAACAGCCGTTTCTGAAATACTCAAACCAGCCGGCCTGGGAGCAACAACCATGTTACTTTCAAAGTCACTCAAGTCTTCCTCATTCTGATGCTTGGTTTCAGCTTTAGCAGACGCTCTTGACTACGTCTACATAATGCATCGAGTTGCTGCCGCGTGATTTATATTTGATTTAATAAAAGTGTTTGCAAATGTTTTATTATTATTATTTCATTTTTAATGTTACTCAAATGTACGTGTTGTTTTTGATGTTAAACTGAGTCAAAGATGGCTTTAAAAAAGAAAAGAAGAAAGTTCTACTGATTACTAACTTGGTTTCCAGCAGCTGGGCGTTCTCATGGATGAGATGTTCGACTTCCCGACCCATACCTGAAAATGATCACCCGTAATGTGAATACAGACCGTTTCATCTCATCGTGTGCTCCATCATAAAAGGAGAAAATAAAACATGTTATTGAAAGATCTCATCAATAAAGAAGTGGTTCTTATGTCTATCCTACTCAGTGACACATCGTTCTCAGCCTTACCTAGAAAGTTGTAGTCTGAGGGTTATGCAACAAATCAGGAAGAGGTTTATGAGACTGTGAGTAAGTTAAATAGTCTCATGTGTACTCAATCTCTAGTCTATGGTGGTACTGCGCTTCACAACACAGTAGCACTATTCACTATTCTGCACATCCATCAGAAAGTCACAGAGGGAACCGAACACAGAATCAAGGACAGACATGATGAGAATAAGGAGCTGGTAACGAGATCTTCGGGGAATCTATTGATACACACCAGAGAACTCATCTGTAAAGGATGAAACAAGCCCCGGCAGCCAAAGGAAGAGACGATTCAGAGATTATAACGGTTTGTGAAAGTGAAGCCGTTGATGACATTCAAACATCAAGTCCGGGAGGCTTCTTACCCAGCATGTCGGCTCCATCGTCCACGTCTCCTATCAGGTCGTTGCCTGCGGATGACAGCTCCGCAAACAGAGAGTCGGTGTTGCGGTCGAAGGCCAGATTCTCTATGCCACCTTTAGTTGGTGTGCTGGGCGGAGAGAGGAGGAGGTCGGGGGAGGAGATGTGAAACAAAAAGGGGAGGAAATGAGGATCATCGAGAGGAAGGGGGAATGATATTGCAATATGGATAATTAGCAAAATATTGCCATCATAATAAATGTAAAAGCCACTTTTAAAACAATTTGGTAACAATTCCAACTGGAATTATAACGTGTAACATTAGTTTGGGATGTCATTCTGAATATGTTTATTGCTCTGTGACAGAGCTCCACTGCTGTCCACAAACTATTAAGAACACAATAATTAGCCGGTGATAGAGAGGGAGGGAGACATGATATTGTTTAAATAGGAGGTAAACGGGGGTCTCTCGGACATATAGAGCTATGCCAGCCTCACCCTTTAACATTTTACAGTAAATGTGAAGATATATGAAGAAGAGTTTGGTTGTATTTCCTGCATCCAGCAGCAAAAGTAAACTGCAGTGAATGAGCCGCGGCCTGTAGAGGCTCGCTGTGGACGACATGCTGGACTCCATGTGAAGAGCTGAGCGGATCGGATGAAACAGTTCTCGGGATACGAGGACACAGAGAGAGATTCGGTTTATAGTTAGATGATGACAAAACGTCTGATCGAGTCCTGTACCTTGCTCCTCTGAAGCCATCGAGGTCCATATCCAGCTCAGGGGTGGACTCTATGATGGCCTGCACCTCAGACTTTTCCCGGTTGTCTGCTCCATCTAATACAACCAGCAGAGATTTGGAAAAGAAGAAGAATGAGCGAGCTAGTACACTCAAACAGGGGGATGAACATGATAAATGTGTTTTAAAGGCAGAGTCCTGACCATCACGTCCATGCTGACTCTGCTGTCCCTCTTGCACTGCCGCAATGTTTTTACTGTTCTCTAGCTTTCCCCTGCTCCAGTCCAGGTTCTTGTTGAGCCCGTCTGAGACTTCCCGTTCCGCAGACTCCGTGGCAACATCGGAGGCAGCAGTGGACAGGGGTGTGACGGAGGCAGACCCTCCACCCAGGCTGGACGCCGGACTCATTCCCGTGGCTGCTCCATCGCGAGGCAATACCGGCATGGTGGACTGAGAGTTAGCACTGGGTGTAGACGTGGGGGTGTTGGATTCAGAGGTACCACCCTGAGAGGACATGGAGGTGTTGGACTTGGAGCCTCCACCTTGTGAGGACACAGGAGTTCCACTTTTGGAGACACTTCCCTGGTTGGCTGGCGTACTGGACTTGGAGCCTCCACCTTGTGAGGACACAGGAGTTCCACTTTTGGAGATACTTCCCTGGTTGGCTGGCGTACTGGACTTGGAGCCTCCGCGGTTGAAACCGGACAATTCATCCTTAAGGTGGAGGAAGAGGAAGTGGAGAAGAAGAGAGCCAGGGAAAAACAAGACAAAACTATGATCTTCATTAAGTCAACAATACGTGTTTATTTGCTTATTAATATCAACCCGCTGCAGTTTAAGCTGTAAATAAATCCCCTCCCAGCTGCAAAGAGGCGTTAGCCGCATAAACTATGATTGTTTATAATTGAATGATTATTAGAATCTTCAAACATCATTAACACATAAATGTACATTTCTTCTCTTTAAATAGAACTAAGTCAAAAATAAAAGATGTTAAAACCAACTGTGTCAAAGAGTGTGCAGCTTGCCATGCAGCTCAAACCAACACAAACACTAACCGAACCACACCATGCAACCGGAAGACAACTCATATCTAATGTACAACCACAATCAAAACTGTGATGAAGTGTCAAAACAGCCTTCGAGGGCCAGTGTGTGGCATTTAGTGGCATCTAGCGGTGAGGTTGCAGATTGCAACCAACCGAACACCCCTCAGCTAACTCCTCCCTTTACAAGAACGAAGACGCTAACGAAGACGGCGAGTCATCACGGTGTTGCACTCTGCGGCTCACGTCACAAATAGATAATATATATTTTTTTTTAAGTGAAAGTCTCTCTTTAGAGTGTTTGGTTTGTCCCTTCTGGGCTACTGTAGAAATGTAACGGTCTCGGTGAAGAGGACCTGTTCCCTGTGTAGATATGAAGGACTCGTTCTAAGATAACCAAAATCACAACAATTATTCGTTTCAGGTGATTATACATTGATGATAGTTGTGAATATTATATTCCATTTCTTCCAATAGATCCCCCTAAATCCTACACGTTACCTTTAAGATATGCATGTAAATCCTGACGGTTATAAGAAGTTATGAGCCACTGATAACCACCTAAATGGAAGGCAGTCTTTTTATGGTTATTGTTTACACATCTGCTTTTCCTACTAAAACATGCCAAAAAAAAAAGACACAAAACAAACTGAAATACAAAACGGGAACAGGTCAGCATCATGCAGTTTCTATTAGCTGTGAGATACAGCCCTTATGTTAGCATTGCTGTATTTAATAACACCACAGACACGTCTGCAAAACAACCACTAAACTCGGTCAGTTTGGTTCGAGTTTCTCCACGAGTGACAGGCAGGTCTACCTGGTCCTGATCAGCCTCCCGATTGGGCAAATTCTCCTTCGAACGTTCCCCTTCCACTCTGATTGGAGAGGAGTGGTCCTCAAACTGAGGGTATATTAAAGACCTTGCTCATTCATATTTCCTAACATTCATTCCTTCTTATTTCAAGCAAAAAACTAAAAAGTTCATATTTAATTATATTATACAGAACAACTGTTTTCCTTTAGTCACTGGTCTGAAACATAAAACAAAGCCTGAACTGAGAGAGCGATGAGAGGGAGTGATAGGTGTTGTATTTATGGCTTCTTCTAGTACACAAGGTGACCGGCTCAGTAAGGCCGTATGAATGAAAATGAACAGGATATCCAGCACTAATCAAACATTTCATTAGTTCTAAGCAGCCCTTTGTGGCACGCAGGATTTCATTGTTTTGATCCGTTAATGCCGGCGGCTTCAGTCCTATAAATAGCAGAGGGCCTGATGGAACAGGATCAATCAGGACATCAACAAAGCATGTGTACGGAAGGATCCCTCGGTCACCTTGAACACAGATATTGAATGAGCTGTTTTTTTCTTTAATATGTTTATTTTTCTTGTGTCTGGTTCAGCTCTCTGAACGCTGATGGGATTATTTCCTTTTTATACCTGCATGCTGCCATCATTATATAGAGTGCTGCAGAGATGATCTATTTTTGTCGGCTAACCCGGCAGTTAGCATCGCACTGGTTCCCTCGACTAAAATCCAATGTTTTTTTGGTTTTATTTGGCCTTTGTATTATTGCGGAAATTAAACTCTGTGGCAAACAGAAGGTTATGATACTTACACATCACTTTTATGAATTTTAAAGCGTGAATACAATAGGCAGAAAAGCTAACATTAAGCTATAAATGAACTAGATGGTCACATGACTTCACGCCACCACCGTAAAGGAGAACCAGTGCTGGGCGTGATGACGTTTTGTAGTCTCATTTAGCCACTTGGTAGCAACCGCCTTTTTTAAGACATGTAAAAGCTTCACATTTTGCTATTGACTGAAGTATGTCATAGAACAATACATTAAAATCTATTAAGCTTGTTTTAACCACAAGTTATCTAACCAAGGCATCTAACCAAAAACCTGTTAGAAAAAAAAAGACATGGGCTCCAAAAGGCGTGAAATAGAAGAGCAAAAATGCCGACCTGGTTTCTGGGTCTTAGGACTCATTCCACTGACTGTTGCTACGGACGCACTGAGCAGCCAATAGGTGGGAAGTTTCCCTCCACTGCTGCTCTGCTGATAATAGCTGGCTCTCCCCCAACCCTCCAAAAACATTCACACGCACAAACATGCCACTTCCCTCAGTGAGGGGGGAGTGGATCATTTACTGTAAATCTTTGGGAAATGTCAAGTCAGAGGACCAAACACAAAGGCACCGCTGTATATCTGCACCGACGGTGCCTGGTGCCTCCGAGAAGAAGTTGTGTGAGAAAGAAGTACTGCGACATGTATATTGTACTCCAGGACTCATCAACCACTTTGGCTGCCAACTATGAAGCCAGCTGTAAAACGCCCATCCGACCCTGTACGAGCGTAATAACGGCAAATGAATACTTCTTCGGCACTCATTAATATTCATGATGGAGCCTTTGCTTGCAGCATGGTTTCCAACAGCAACAATGTGAAGACACTCTGTCCTTCCAACCCTCCCCTGAGGTTAAAGGCAGGCCCCCGGATGGCACCACTTCCTCTGCTTGCTGGGCTCCAAGCCACCCCGTTACACACACAAGCGGCTGCTAAACATTCTGGTCACACTGAACTATTCTTTCTCCCTGAAAAGAAATGTACCATTTTCTGTGGTGTTTTCCTGGTATGGGAGCGTTTGCGGTTTGTTTTTCCACAACCTCTTTTTAAGTGAGCTGGGGATGATGTCACTAGTCCGATCCGTGGGAAGCACTACAAGCCAACTTCAGACAGTAACGGGAAAAAAAAGTTTAAATTCATCACAATGTGTGGAGCTGCGTGTTGTACCTTGAGGCTGGTGTTGGACCGCGGGTGGCTAAGGTTGTTGAATCGCCACGGCTCAGAAGGGGTGTCCACAGGTTCCCTCTGGAGGTCAGAGGTCATACCATCAGTCCCAGGGAGCTGGAATATGCCCATGGAGATGGGACGCTCCTTTCTGGATACAGGGACATAAGGAAGGAGAGATGATTCAAAAGGGAAATGAGCAATTCTGTAATAAATTAGAACACAAGTGACTGAGCCTGTGCTTTGAGCTAAATGCTAATGTCACCGTGCCAACAATGACAATGCTTACATATAATGTGTAGCGTAACGTGGTCGCTAGCTTCGTTTGGCATGCTAACATTTGCTAATAAGCACTAAACACAAAGCATAGCCGAGGCCGATGGGACATCATTCGCCTTGCAGGTGTTTGATCATAAAAGTAAATATTGGACGAATACAAACATTGAGTGTGACAATGGCTCCAAAATAGAAAAGTTAGGGCTTTGCTGAAGGTATTCCAATTCATTCTGAAGGGAATATAAATACATGTACTAAATGTCCAAGCTATCCATCCAATAGAAGTCAGAACGTTTTACTTGAAGCCGCAATGTCAAAAATCACGACGCTAGCTTGAGGAAACGCTGGGGGACAAACAAAGTCAGTAGGATACATCGTCTGGGAACAAAATGCTACAAGTGCTGGACTGTCCAACCGACCGACAGCACAGCATCGCCATCCCTACAGCCGCTCTTTGGGAGTTAGGAGACCTTAAGCACGGAGATGGTGCAAGAACATGTGATTTATAGTGTGCGATTTAAAAGTGCACCGTCTGGGATATGTTCTAAACTCTAAACCAGGTTAGACAAGTTCTCATTGGTCTGAATGTTTTGACCCTCCCTCTCCATGTTGTGATGAGGTTCCTATAGAGAAAGAGACACTTGCTAGAAAAGGCTCTCGTGTGAAGCGATGAAGAAAGTTTGGTGCAACAGCTACTGTACTTCACAAAAGCCTGAATGACAGATGATACATTTAATTTTGCTAAATTAAAATGGGCAGGTAGTTAAACCTTTTCAGCCTTTACCGTCCATTTTACGGTGCAGTGGAAGCAGATTAGCAGAATAATGTAATCAGTTAGGAAAAAGATAAACTGCGTGACGGGTCGGAGTCGAGACTTTGCGGTGAGGTGTCAGCTCGACATGGGAAGAGAAATAAAGCTGGTTGCCTCATAAACTCCATCCTCTCCCACTTATTAGCTCAAGCAATAACACAAACCCATTTGTATCTGTCTCCATGGGACATGAGGAGATGTATTCTGCCGTGTGTGTTGTATTAGGAGGTCAGCCAAGAACTGACTATGAACAAATATCTGTCACCCTCTCCGGCTCTCATAAATAACACCAGCTCACTCTTGCATGGAGGTGTTCGTGTTCAAGCTCCCATTTCACAACGACACCGAGCACTGAAAGTCTAATAATATTCAGCAACGCAAAAAAACGCATTGATATAAATACCCTGCACCCTCCACTGCATCAGATCAGTTACACACCGGCAGCTATTCTCACTCCAGTGGCTAGGTATGAAAGAAAATAACATTGTACAGTCCAGCAGAACAATGGCTGCCACTGAAAAGAGCAGCAGGCCAGCAGCAGCCCAAAAACAATGGACACACCACCATATTGAGAGGAAGAGGTCACATGCAGGCCACTGATGGTAACCAATGCTGCCTTTTACTATTTGGGTGAGGAAGAAAAACATAAACATGCTCATTCATCAGTCCTCCACTACCATTTCATCTTGGAAAACACGAGAATAATCATAAACGGCTATAAACTGTGGTGACATATCTAAAAAGGTGCTGTAGTCTTCCACACATGACTCTGCTGTCCCCCCCCTCTCTCTTGACCTACTTTTAGAGTGCAGTCTGGTACTGTCTGACAATATCACACCCACATGGCAGCAACACTGCTCCGTAGCACGCTGCCAGCATGGCTACAAGCTGGCAGCGTGCTACGGAGGACACGGATCACAGCGGGGAAGATACATTCATTCATCATACATTAAGACACACGCGCGCGCGCGCACACACACACACACACACACACACACACACACACACACACACACACTATACCTGCTGGCTCTGGGTAAGGAGGGTAAGGAAGGCAGGGCAGGTAAGCTGCCGGTGGCGACGGAGTAGTGAACGAGCAGCAGCACTGACAGAGAGACCAGCACGGCAGAGTTGATGACCACCGCTCCCCCGACAAAGCCGAAAACAAACAGCAGCATACACCCGGGGCTCATGGCCCCCCCCAGATCATGGCCCGGTGCCTCAATGCAGGACCAGTGGGTTGGGGGAGGTGGGGGGGCTCAGGCGATGGCAGCAGAAGAGGTGTGTGCGTGTGTGTGTGGGGGGGGGGGGGGTCACTGAAGCACCAAATTCTTGGCGGACCTCCGATTGGACATTAATAACTGCTGTAAGTATGTGTACAGCGGAGGTCAAAGATGCTTTATCCGTCTAGCCAGCGGTCAGCAGCAGAGCAGCGGGTCAAAGGCAGAAACAGCAGCGGTCACAAAACAGTAATCCTGGTGGCTTCTGCAGCAGTGATTGATGAAAAGCAGAGCGGCGGCACACGGAGCAGAGCAGTGGATCCTCCACAGAGAGAAGGGAGGGGCTGGCAGCAGCTCCTCTCCTCCAGTGTCTTCATCTAGCACCCGAGACTGTTTCCCTTCCTCGTTCACGCTTCCTTTCCTCTGCCGAGATGCGACTGCCGCTGGTCTAGAACACTCCGACGCTCTCCCTCTCTCACTCTGATGGCAACCCCCCACCCAATCTCTCTTTTGGGTGCTGAGGCAGCTCATTTCATGTGCCTCTTCTCAGGCTGCAGCTTATTGGCTGCCACACAGGGGGGACTGGTCAAAAAGTGCGTATGTGTGTGAGAAAGAGGGAGGGAGGTTCGCAGTGTTGTCTGCATTAACGGGGGGGGGGGGGGCAGAGGAAAGGAAGCGTGAACGAGGAAGGGAAACAGTCTCGGGTG